ATAGAGAGATTCAATCTGTCTCTGTACTATCTAGTGGTTTATGTCTCCAGTCTTTGTTCCGGTCGTTTCTGTGTGGATCGTAGGGGCAGCAAAGCCTAAAAAGCCAAGCAGTCAGACCTCCCCTGCTCTTTCAACCCCGGCTTTTCTTCTTCTTCTGCTTATTTAAAGTTTTTGCAGCATTTCTTCCGTAGAGTGATTAATAATCAGAGAAGTCCAGATATACCCACTTAATTTGTGGTGGGAAAAAGAATACATGAGTTTGCTCTCTCGACGACGATAGACTATATGACGAATCTCGAGCGTACCTCAAGCACTGAACCCCAAATAGAGAAATCCTTCAAGATATAATACAGTGATTACCGAGTTCACAGTAATTTGATAGATAAATATTATCAAGGAGAAATAGGCTCTAAAATCAATAATATTCATGAGGTAGCTCCTTTATAATAGAATTTCCAACACAAAGCTCCTCCCAGTTTGATAGTATTGGGACATATTGGGACAGATCCCCAAACCAACTCTGTTGGCTCCTTTTGATGTGGAGAAGAAGCAACTCTACTCTGAGCCCCTCCTGGATGGCTAAACTCCTCACCAAAGCTTGTGACCATAGGTGAGAGTAGGGACAAAGGGACATCAACCGGTAAGTTGAGAGCTCAGCTCTCTCTTCACCATAATGGATCGGTACAGCGTCTGCATCACTGCAGCACCAATCCATCTGTTGCTCTTCTGCTCCCTTCTCTCCTCATTTGTGAACAAGACCCTGAGATACTTAAAGTCCTCCAGTTGGGGCAGTAAGTCGTCCCTGTCCTGGAGTTGGCACTCCACCTTTTTCCGGCTGAGGACCATGGCCTCAGATTTGGAGGTGCTGATTCTTATTCCTGTCGCTTCACACTGAACTGCAAACTGCCCCAAGCTAGAGGCCATCACCCAGTGCACCCTCACTGTGTGTTTTGGCATCCCAGGTCTGTCCAGCAACCTCCCCCACCACCTGATCCAACTCATCACCAGGTGGTGATGAGTCAGCACCTCTCTTCACCTGAGTGTCCAGAACATGCGGCAGCAGAGCTGATGATGCAATTATAAAATAACTCATGGATTTATAGATCACCGACCTGGGGCCTAGGTGTCCTGGTGCCACGTGCACTTATGGACACCCTTATGTTCAAAAATGGTGTTTGTTATGGACAAACTGTGGTTTGCACACACCGCCACCCAGCACACACTCCCCTATGACACCTCCTGCAGGTGGTGGGCATACAGGAGGGTCCACATGTACCGAGTTGAGGAAAGCAGGAGTGACAGGAATTATTAGAAAAATAGGGCTTTCATTTATTTAACCTCCCAAAATTATATTTACAAAAGTCATAAATGTTGATCTCATAGAAAAAGGTCAAAGAAACAAAACTGAACTCAGGCAAAGACCTGCAAACTTAACAAACCAAATGACTGCCCAAACATACATAATTGACCTAAACATGAAATGACATACAAGGGTATATATAATGGCTGATCAGACCATTGTGACACATGAGGGGTAACAAACAAAACACAATCATAAATCACAAACGATGCAGTACAATCTAGTTTGTTAATAAACTAAACACTAAAGAAGAAAATCAAAAACCCCATTATGCTATTCATAGCAGGCTTTGCTTTTTACCTAAAGTAGTGAGAGATGGTTGTAATTCTGCAAGTCTGACATGTAATCTTGTGTTAACAGACAAAGTTGAGCTTCCATTGAAGAAGCATCATCATCATAAGCAGCTGGTTGGTAGCGTCCCGGAGCCTGACTTCTGTGCAGACTGTGGTCTGGAGGGAGACAACAGGATATAATGTAATCATTATTCAACATTCAGACTGTTTTGTTTTTCTGTCTTTCATTTTTTTTTCTTCCAGCCAAGTTCATCTTGGCTGTTAGAGCAACCGTTCAAGACTCATGCAGCATGGCTGATGTAATCTTTTTATGATTTTTTTTCTTTCTGTCTGATTCAAAGATTCCCAGGATGTTTTTGACCTGTATGGTGCAACAGGCAGTATCTTTATTGTTTGTCTGAAACCAAGCTGGGCAAAAAACTTGACCTTAAAATGGAAACACAATGATGAGAAAGTATTTTCACAAAGAAAAGTGAAGGACATGGCATATCCAAACCAACAAGCCTGAAGACAAACAACTTGGGAAACTTTGTTTCAATGAATATGGAAAATTAGAAAAAGAAAATATGAGCATTGGTTTATTTGTTGTGGGTAGCTAACAACAGAGTCGATTTATTGTGGTTATACAATAAACATCACATTTCTCTTTGAATTTCTCTTTATGTCAGTCTCAACCATAGATTACGGTGTGCAGTCACCTAAACACTTTTCAGCCTTATCAGATTAGTGTTTTCACATATATGGCATCAATGTGAACATGAATGTATTTTATGTTTTTATGTTTTTGATTTTTAATCTACTCATTAAAAAAAGTGTTACACCTTTGTCATCAGTCTTTATTTAATGCTTCATCAGCATTTCTTCATATAATATAATATTAATGTATAAACATTATATAGAGATAATACGATCTCAGATTATGTGCAGAACTCTGTAGTGATGAAGAATTGCACAATAAACGTGATGTGTCTATACCC